TCCAGCATTATTTGTACAATTCTGTCTCTGAACAGAATTATACGAAGACTCGGAATAGGATTTTTATAAAAAATCAAAATATGAATGTCCGGACAGCATTAGAAATAATTTCAGAAGGCTTAAAAAAACTTTTTCTTCTGTTGTTCTGCAACTTTACTTCTGCCAGGATCTGCAAAAGCAGCTCTTTTCCTCTGGTTCTCCATGTCCTGCTTTCTGAGGTAGGTGAGATATTGAATACTGCTCTTGAATTTTGGGCAGTTGGAGATCTGGAGGTGCTGGGAACCAAACTCATCAGCTTCCCTGAGCGGCTCAGGGCCTGAGATGTTCTCAGATGAACAATCAGTCTGTGGAAGGGCTCATCACTGAGCTCAGTCACAAAGCCCTTATGTCAATCTCTGAAAATCATAGGAGCTAAGTGGTCTTCCAATCACAGGCAGATCACCTCTGCATTTTGAAGTGAGCAGGTGAGAACTGGCAAAACTGAACTGCGCTGAATTCAAATATGGTTGTTCAGCTGATGTTCAGTTGAAAGCAAACCTTCATCTTGGCAAAGATTCTGTTTGGCCTTACATACCTGGCTGATTTGGAGAAGATACTGAATTGCAACCTTGCTTTAGCAGTTAAAATCTATGGGGCTGTCATGGCCAAAAACTAATTAGAGTTACAATTCTCAGTGCCTAGAACTTATTTTGGATTTGCCTTACAACAGTAGTGCAAAGCTTTCTTCATGAAAGAGAAGAAGGCAAAATCTGGCCTCAAATTAGCGATGAGCTGTTCAGTGAACTATTTCTGAGCTGTGTCCTCAAGAAGAGTTCTTTGCTCAGTGTGCATCCCCTTAGACACAGCCTATGGCACAGAAGAGCCTGTGGGGATAACCTATGTCAGATATGATGTCATGAACCATAACTGCTTCAGCTGAAAGAGGGGTCCATAGCCAGTTTCCGTGGTAACTGGTAGACACCTGCAGCTCTTTGACGCAGTCCTGGATCTGTCTCTTCTCTCTGCATAGAACATTCAGTGATGGACATATGTAGCTGTTCTGGCAAAGCCTGAGCAGTGTTTGTTTTGTGGAGAGCAAGGATTTTTCCTCTTTCTAACATGGCATTTTCACTCCTTTTGCATTGGACTCCATCCCTCATTTTATTTAGCTCATATTTGTAAGTATTTGAGATAACTTTTGCTGTTCATTTTAAATGTTTCTTTCTGTTTTGTTGTAATCTGCACTGAATTTGCAGATTCAACCAAATTTGCATCCAGTTTCACTGCTGCCTGAGGTTTTGCTTTTTTAGCTTGCTGCTTGGAAGGAGAAATAAGACATTATATCAGCCCATGAGCTTTTTAAAGCCATGGAAAGCCAGTTGCTGCAGTCATAAAGATTAGACGATGTGCAGGGTTTCTGGAAGATCAGTTCTGCTCTGAAAGAGCAACTGTTCTTCGTATCACATACAGTATCAGGAAGCAGGTTTGTTTGAGTGTGAGACTGGGTTCCCTAGCATTCTGATTACCACTCATAGCTGCTAAAGTGTTAAACTACAATAGGTTTGTAATCAGATCCTGTGCATCCGCTCCTTTTGTGGTATCTTGCTAGCTGAAGCTTTGGTCTACAATGCAGATACTGCTCAAGTGAAGAATGAGTAGTGATTGTCAAGATGGAGATTGATTCTTGGTTTGAGATTGTATCTGGAACTGTTGTGGCTATTTGTGAGATTATTCTCCAAACCAGTAGTTCTGTAACACTCTTTGTGCCACTCAACATTGAGATGGTTTGTTTCATGAAAGAGTTGTGAGCAAGACAGATCATAATTAAAACAATATCCTCCAGACTCTTGTAAGGTTTTTGGTAAACATTTATAACTAAACATGTCTGGCACTGCAGTCCTTTTGTGACTGCGAAAGGGATTTTAAAGTGCTGAAAGTAAGAGGAGAGAAGGATAATCAAGTTTTGTGTGCTTATATGAGGATGCTTTATATTTTTTAACCTGCTCTTCTCTCCCTCTGTTGTTAAGCATCAGCAGCATTCAAGCTAGATAGCTGGAAGCAGTTTTATCACTTGGCAGTAGTGCCCTACTGCAAGTGGGGCCTTCTGAAGTCAGGGAATGCTTTGCAGTTGCAGTTCAGGTTTTGTTCACTGGGATATCACGCCTTGAGCTAATCAAGACTGGTGAGTTAACAAGTGAGAGGGACCTCCTGTTGTCTTCAGTGTGTTTTTTACTTCACAGCTTCCAGAAGGAATGATTGCAACAAAAAAAACCAAAACAAAACAGCACTTAAGGAAGTGCCTGTAGAGAGCAGAAATTAAACTGGTCACTAGATAAACCATGAGGTTTCACAGGCTTCTGATGTTTTTCCTAGAAAGACAAAGGACATTTTTTGAAACATGATAATAGGTATAATTTTTCTGAGATGCTGATGTGGGGACATTCAATGCAAGCAGTCCAGGAAACAAGGAGAAATGTCAGATTCACCTTTAAAAGACAAAGAAACATTTTGATAATGTAATAGCACACTTCTCATATTGTGAGCTTACATGGCTTTGTAAACTGCAGCTATTCAAAGTAGCCTCAAAATTGTGCATTTGTATGATTTCAGGTCTTAAGTTAAAGCACATATGAAACAAACCTGGGAACTGGGTCTGATTGTAAATAGGTACCTTTGAGCACAAGTTACAGTTTCTTCCCAACTAGTAATTAACTGGCTAATTTAAGCCTATTTTTTGCATACTTTTGTCTGGTATATCTTCACGTGTCATGTGGTGGTGTTAGTGTGTAACATTAGGTGCTGTTTTGGGCGTTCTAGGTGTTTATCAATAATATGTTCAAAGTAGATTATGTCAATTCTTTGCAAAGTTTTGCAAAGATACATATAAGTTTGGCAGTGTAAGGACACTTGAGACTGTCATCATTGCTTTCAGCAAATAGTACTTTTTTTTTTCTAAGTTATTTTATATAAAAAAATAATTAATAAAGTTATGGGCATGCAGATTAATGTCACTTAGGGGTTGCTTGTAACTGTTGGATCACTTTCTCCTTTACATCTTTTGTTAGCAGTGTCCAGGATAATAGAAGGTGGATTTTCTTCCAGTAAGGTCCATGATTGCTTTATGCCCATTTCAATGGCCATCTGCTGTGAGCAAAGGACAGGATTGCTGCTTTTATAGGCACAAAGCTGTGTTTTCCTGTTGATTTATGTTTTGATGTAATAGAAGTTACATCATCATACAGAATCAACAGTTACTTAGTAGGCAAATCTGAAACTTTAGCTAAATGTCTTGTAAAGATACAAAGACAGGTACAGGACTGCTGCAGCTGGTATGTTTAACACTCCTGCCCGTATCTTCTTCAGCTTCTTACAGTAAACTGAAAGAATGGAAGTGATACAAAAAATATTTTTTCTATAAATACTACATGTCTGCTCACTGCGTGCAAAAAGGGGAAGATTCTAGTGTGAGTACATTAAGTATGAGGTTTGGGACAAAACAGAGTAAGAGCAATGCATTAAATATATATATATATATACGCGTATGATATTCAACGTGCGTATACTAAATGTATGTACTTATACATTGAGTATAGATAGTGGGATTTACCCTTTCTATGATGTAGCATCACTAAGTTTTGGTGTTACTGGATTAGCTGTTTTTCTAAAGACTTTCAAGAATATAACAATTTCTGTATGCCCTAAATTTGTTGGATATTAAATCACTGCCAAGAGAAGAAGAGAAATAGATGGAACTCTGGAAGGGTACACAGTAGATCTGACTTTGTCCTTGACCTGACTACTGGTTGAGGTTGGACAATTGGCTTTCTCTCTGTATATCTTTCTTTTTCCACCTGTTAAGCACAGATGATTACTCACTCAGATCCCTTATACCAAAACAGTTTGAAATCTCCTGATAGGAATAACACCTAATCCTTACCTAGTTGTGTTATTTAGTGAAATATCTGTACAGGGTGCTGGTAACAATGAGACATAATTTTAGTTACTCCGGGATAAAACCCACACCCTTAACCATGTCTTTGCATCCCTCCCAGACCCCAAAACTATTCTGTTTCAGTATCTTACTGAATAATTTTTAATTCTAAAGACATTAAAGACTGATGAGGTGCTTTCACTTCCTTGAACAAATGGATGCAAGATTGCTTCTCTTGGGAGGAGACAGATCGTTGTCTTTCCTCCCTTTTATATTCCCTTGTTTTTAAATGCCAGAGATCATAATTCCAGAAGTTTAGATGATCATCAATATTTTTGTGGGCAATGCTCTTTGCTAATCATTTGGACTTCGAAGAAACTTCATATTGAAGAACAGCTACAGACCACTACACAATGCTGAGAAGGTAGCAGTCCTTGGACCACTGTAGTGCCCTGAGTACAACCTGGCACTCCCAGCTAATAAACTGCTGGCTTTGTCCTTGCACTCCTTGGAGGAGAGTATTTTGGAAACTCCATGAGAGAACCATGACCTCACAGTTTCTCCTGTCCCAAGGATACCTTCATAGGAGGTGACTACCAGTGGCATTTCTTTGAGGCAGTAGTTGCTGTCAACGTTACTGCCCTCTTAATTTGCAAATACAGATATGCTTCAGTAATTTCTAAAGTCTTCATTGCACAGGCAACGGTAGCAACCTCAGCTTACCCAATTTTTCATGCTTCCTTTTATTTTGCTGTGATAGTCCTGAGTATTCGGTATGAAAAGCAGGCACAAGAATCATGGATTTACTGCAGTAATAACTTCAGGAATTTGTTGGTATTAGCACCAACAGTATGTGTGTGAATGTGTTATATGATATGAGAGGAGAATCCCAATTTAAATCTTGTTGATAAACAAGTGACAAAGACCTTACAAAACATAGAAGACTCCAGGCCAGCTATGGCTATATTAATAATAATAAATCAGATCTACTCTGAGGTGTTTTTCATAGGGAGCAGTATTCACATAGGATTTTTTTACCAATTGTCATTTTTCTAACTTTGTGTTTTTGTATTATCTTCTTTTTTCCCAGCATTTACTAAATGCTGTCAAGAAACTGGCTTTCTTATGGTGGTGAAGTGTCGGCAAGAGAACACAGCACTGAAAGATTGTCTGGTTGGCTAGTAAGTCCCTTGCAAATTGTTGTTGTTTTTCTGTTGCATGGCCTATACTAATCTAGAAGTGAGTAAAAATCTTAGATCTCCTCAAAAGGGTGTTGCAAGGTTAGTGACTTTGATGTATTTTCTGAAAATTTTATCTCCACTTCAGAAAAAAAATGCTGGTCAGGGCCCTACCTGACAAGATTTTATTTCCTCAATAAAGCTGTCATATGGCTATGAAGGTTCTCTTCTTGATTTAAATGGTGACTGAGCTAAATTTTCAGTCCAGGTGACATGTAGTCCTGTAGTCACTAAGCTGAATTGCCTATGGGAGTGAGCAGTAGAAACACCTTCATACCCTGTTCATGAGACAGGCTAAGTTTGTTTTGAATTTGCTTCTTGAACTGTTTTTTAAGTTTTAGTCTTTGTCCTGAAAGTGTCCTGCTGTTGTGAACAGCACTAGCAACAGCAATGGGAATTTGTTAGGTATTAGAGAGGTCAGCTTGATACCATGGTGGATGAAAATGTCTCTTTTGGAAGTCCTAATTTATCCCCAGTGCCATCAGGCTGAACTGTTAGATTCTTGAATTTCCCAGTGTGAGGGCTGGGGATTTTTTGAGTTTCACTGGGGGGAGTTTGTTTTTTGGTGGAATGTGCAAAGTTAAATGTCATTAAGCTTTATAGTATATAATATATATATATAATATAATTATCTGAGGTATTTGGGAACAGATGAAAAAACACGAGGAGTTGCTGGAGGTATTCAGTTTTACTTGTCTGTAAGTCCATGTATTGAAATTTGCCTTTTTTTTAAGCCAAAAAAGCAAACCCACCCAAACCAAATATGCACCACTGAAAAAAAGAAGAGTTTAGTGCTTAAATAATTATACTTAAAATTAAGAGAAAAATTAATTTAATTTAATGATCAAGGACCTACATGTTTTTACTGTTCAAGACATACAGTTGAAAATGTTCCCAGTCTTTGTCTGGGTACATAAATACAAGTGCATTCCAGCAGCTTCCCATGCTAACTGTACATAACAGCAAATTATTCAGCTGAACTGAAATTCCCAGTATCTTTCCCTTTTTCTGCCTTTCCTCTTCACGGCTGTAATGTAGTCTTGAAAAAGACTGTGCCTCAAGAGAGAGTGGCATCATGAGAGAATGCAGAACAACTCAGTATTAACAGTTCACAAATATAACTTTAACCACTTATGCACTTTATAATAAAGGTTTTGTTGAAGGCAGGCAAATTTATACGGATGTGAAAGGAACAAGAGTTCTGAGTGTTATTCATGCAGTATCTGTTCCATATTCCAAGATGAAAAATGGTATTATGTATTTGTCTTATAGCTATTCTGATCCATTATTCTATGAAGAATGCAAAACAGAATATTTGAAGCAAAGAGAAGACTACAGAGCAACTGGAATTAAGAAGAAAAGACAGAAGCTAACTTCAGATGTTTAGTTAAAACTTAAAATTAACTTTTCAAATTTTATATTCAACTTTAATTTGACTTGATTTAAATAGATTTAAATCAGCTCTATCCCCTTCTGTGTGGAATTTAACTGAAATACACAAAATGAGATTAATGGAGAATAAAATTATCTCTGAACTTAATAGGTTTTATTTTTAAAAATTTATTTTTTGTAATTAAAGATACAAACATTCTGTCACCATTTGCAAGACAAATTGAAAAGGTCTGTTCCTGTGTCTGGACTTGAGATTTTTTGTTACCAATTTACAAATAGCCTTTTGGAATTTAAAGCTTGTGTTGTGTGGTCTTACTAGAAGAGAAGGGTGGCAAATGCAAAAAGATAAGAGCTTCTTGGACCAATTTATCCTTTTCATTAAAATGTTGAGTCATATGAGAGCCTGATAGTACCTTTGCTTACACTGTGACTCACTTATAAGTCTACATTGTCAGAAGAGGCGGATGCCCCGTGCCTGCCTGTGGCCCAGACTGACAGTTTCAGCTCTAGAGGAGAAAAGTCATCTGGTTGAGACCTTCCCTGAGAATGGGAGGAGGCATGCCAAAAGCAGAATCATTCAGAGCAGTATCTTCCCCTGCTTTCCACTTCCAGAATGAAGAGGATTGTGTAAGCTTCCACTAAACTAGGTACGTAAGATGCAGGTCAGTTCTTGTAGAAACTAAGTGTAAGCAAGTCCCTATTTAAAAAGAGGCATACAAAGGAGTTTTTTCCATGCTGATAGTTGAAGCTGCTTAATTGTAGATATGTCAAACGCATAAATGGCTTCACTAGAGATAGTAAAACTTTATATTAGTGTTTTGGGGTATTTTTGGAAGCATTTTGAAATAAAAAATTTTTTACAGTTGAGGAAAGGCTGCACTTAGAAAACTTAGTCACATGGTGACTGTAATACCCGATTTTACAAAAAAGAATTTTTTGCCTGCATAAGTAGTAGGATTTATTACTTTTCCATCAGAACATTCAAAGTTTGACTTATTTTAGCACTCATTCACTACAAAACCAATATTGGTCTAAAGCTATTCAAGCAGGAAGTTCAAATCAGACTTTGAGACATGTATGTGAAGTACTTAATGTTGCAGGTTAGTCCTTACCCTTTTTTCTGTGTCATTTACTGGAATAATCAATAATAATATTTCTTCTGCTATTAGCAGATTGGCTGGAGGATTAGGGAACACTTGTAATGACAAACTGAAAATACAGGTATCACTGCTTTGTTAGGTAAACTTAAGAGGCACTCAGCTCTAAAACAAATCACCTTTGCTTCTGTGGAAAAAAGTTTCCTACTTGCTCTTGGCTCCTCAGTTCAAGCATTTGGAAAATAATACTCCAGATCAGTTAGTAGAAAATTAGTTTTTTCTCTGTACATATTTAAAAAGAGAAAACTTAAGGTAGATGATGAAGTATTTTAAGGACAGCAGCTGTTGTCTTATCCCACTATGAAAATGTACTCAATTTTCAGCCTCTGGAAGGCAGACCAGGGAGTTCATAATTGTTATGTAAAGCACTTCCAAAGAGTATTTGGGCTGGAGTGAGCATTCTCTTGGAGACAAGTGCTGTGTGCTGCCCGTGGTACATGCCTGCAGTGAGAGCTCACCTCAGTCTTACTCAGGTTCACACCACAGCTGAATACAGCCAACAGCACCAACAATGGGCTTCTCCTTTGCTGGGTTAGCAGAGAATATTTTCAGCAGGTGATGGGGAACCCCAGTGCATTGACCAGTACTGCTGAGGGGGAAAAAACTGTTTAACTTGCAGGTATAGCTCCCCCACCATTCTATACATGGTGTGTATGAAGAGCTTTAATAACTCCCTTCCACACCAATCACCAGGCTCCGCTGTCAAGCCTGAAATTGCATGTAGAGATTTATGCTGTCAACCATTCATTTCTCTTCACTGACACTACTGCTTGTGTCAGGAAGAACTGGGTTATTGCAGCTTCTCCTTTGTTTACCATGGCACTTGGAGCTGAGCTTTGCCCTTGGCTCTGGCATCCACTTCCTCTGTAATACAGCCATGGCGTTAATGTGACATTTCCTAGTTTTGAAATCTTGATTTCACACCTTTCACTTTCTTAATGTCCTGCACTGTATCCTGTATTTTAGTTGCACTCACATCTGCTACTTAAAATTTAAATGAAATAATGAGTGCTTTGAAGTGACAAACTCATAGTAGTAAATTGTTTTGGTTTTTTTTGTCTCAACTGTAACATCTTCCAAGTTGGGTTAACGGGCAGCAGCCCTAGATTCTACTCAATGTGTGAAAACATCAATAGTACTGACAAAGCCTTCATTTGGGCTTCAGCAGTGAACTGGAAGCTTTTTAGCTACATGTTGAGTATTTGTAAAAAAACATTTCTGTTTTGTCAGTTACTTTTGAATAACAAGAGGGTGTAGCTTTGGGAAGCCTGGCTATCTTTTCCCCTCAGCGTCTTCACCTCCCAACCTAACAAAACATAACATGTGGCTGCCTGTACTTACTGAGAGTAGCTATAGGTGATTAAGGGAGATGACATTGGTGCAAATGTGCAGTCCTTCACCCAGCCATGTCCATCTAAACCAGGGACTGCAACTCTAATTAATAGTCTTTAGTTGTTTCTTTACATATTTTTTTCATTTTGAAACTAATTCTGCAGGGTTCTTACACATTATCCTGCATAGGAGTAAACAACTGGTAAAATCAGTCTAGGTGTGTGTCCAGTGTTTTCAAGTTAGCCTATTAATATAAAAAGATTATTTAAGTGCAGAGGCAGGGATTAACTCAAATAGATCAGCCACAGCCTGAAGTGTGGCAATGCCACTAGCCCATCACAACTAACATTTGCTTGTTTCCCAACACATGACCGTCTTAAAAATTAAGGAGACATTACCAAGTGTTTGTATTTCCCATTCTCCATGTTGCAACTGCCTTTCACAAAGTTGCCTCTGCTTTTGCTGTAGCTGTACAACCAGCCTGTAGCCCATGCTTCCCTCCTGTAATGGGAGCCATGTGCTCTGCCAGTTTGTTGCACTACCAATTGACACTGACAGAGCAAGATCTTAAAAGGCAGAAGACTCATTTGTCACCTAGCACCCTCACACAGTGCAGCAAGGCACCTCTCAGTTTCTGCAGCAAAGGGGCCCATCTTTGCCTTTTTGTAGCACTTGGGGGAACTTGGCAAGTGCCCAAGACACCCACACTTTTCACTTGAGATTACACTCAACCCCCTACAAATATGAAAAGATTTGCCTTCCTAGAGTAAAATGAAACCTCAGAAAAGATGAGTGGCAGTTTGTAATGCCCAGAGTGTTCAAAGAGGAGCAGAACTACGTACCAGTGCAGTCTCCAAGTCCCCACTCAGTGATGAATCTGTAAGCCAGAAACCCATTCTGCCTCATATTTAGTACAGCCATACTCCTCCTCAAGTACTTCTGCAAGCCTCTGTTCTCTGCTGATCCAAAAATTGTCAAATACAGATATGCAAGTGCTCCATGTAGTTAAAAAAAATAAATCAGCTCAGTATAACATTAAGCACCTGGGTTACTTTTAGGTTTCTCCCCTACATCAAACATCGATATTCGTCTTTCCCATTAATTACTGCATTTTCTATTGCCTTGATGTTTGAATCACACTGTCTTTTCCATCTGGAAATAAAATGAAACAAATTATGCTGGTCACCAATCTCAGTTCACAACACATTTACTACAGAAAATAATTCATTATTTTTAATGGTTCAACTGCTTGTCAATCTTGGGAACTTGCAACTTGATTGAAGTTAGAATATACCTTTAAAGCTGACAATTAAAAAAGAGATAGTTTTGGCCACTGTCTTATGGTCACACAATTGCAAGTAGCACACCACTCCTCCTACAGAAAGGGTCAAAAGCTTGACCTTTAGAAGAACAGAGCAATATAAAGAAAACCCCCCCAAACCCCATGTGTTTTTGCATTCAAACTACCAAAACAGCGCCACTGTCTTATGGTCACACAATTGCAAGTAGCACACCACTCCTCCTACAGAAAGGGTCAAAAGCTTGACCTTTAGAAGAACAGAGCAATATAAAGAAAACCCCCCCCAAACCCCATGTGTTTTTGCATTCAAACTACCGAAAGCAGCAGGGAAACACCACTCTGCAGCCACTGTTCTTCACAGCATGTCTGAAGATAAGAAGACCCTGAAGGTGAGTCAGTCAGGAGCTGGTGCTTTTCAGTCCTCCTTTACTAGGATGCAGTATCTTTAAAAATACAGGTATCTTGAGTGTAGCAGTCTCAAAGGCTACTGTGAGGAGTTTTTGAAATAAAAGCTGCTTTACATCACCAGTATAGCTCATGTTATACTTACATGGACCTGAAATGGATGTTGTCTTACTGTCACTGCATCATATGGTTAGTACTGCTGTGGGTTTTTTACAGCTGTAGCAGTTTGACAGTGCATCACTGCCAACTGGGGAGTTTGCTTTCTTCAGTATGGCTAGTTCACAGAAAACTAATCAGTTGTAAACCCACAAAACTGACAAGAAGACTTGTAGTGATCAGACTTTTAAAAAATTTAAAATGAACCAAATAGTGCAAATTTACATGTGAGTTAGTAGAAGTCCAGTTCTCCAAACATCCAAATACATACTTATCAGCTCACCATATCCTCACTTAAATGTGCAAAATAGCAACCTCCTGTTGCCCTAGAAGCTGTCTGCCATTTCTGTTAAATGAAATTGGTGCCCTCTTAAATTAAAAATTGTCAAATCCATGGATCTGGTGACATTTAAAAAATGTTCAACGTTTGCATTCAAGTTATTTGTCTCATTTAACATACTTATTTGAGGGCTTTGGTCCTTACTTTATGCAATGTTATATTTTATATAACAAATGCATGTGTGCCCACAAAATAGCAGAACCTCATTATTACAGCTACTTCTGCATTTAATTTGCTGTCACTGTGATGAAAAGCTTTCACTCCTGAAAAATGGAAAGAACACTGTAAGCCACTAGGGGCAGGGA